ATTCATGACAAGTTATAATTTCTTGCTTAATGTCAAGTTGTCATGATGACATTTTGAATAATGTCAACTTTGTATTAAAAGTGTCACGATTTACCGAATTACTTTATGACAACAGTCATAAATATTCATAAAGACTTACTCATGTTCACAACAGGTGGGTATGACAGTGTCATGTCAGTCTTATTCACCCCCTTCAAATAAAGTGTTACCAAGAATGGTCCCATAAACTGCATCAAAGCCAGAAAAGCTTCGACATTTCAGGAGAAAGCGTCTGTCAGACCTGCTGCTGCCGACAGCAATGATTTAACTTCTCCTGATCTGGGATCAGTCCAGAAGGCCCAAATATTCACTGGCTCTTCTTCAGACGCAGCGATCTGTAGGTCACATGGCTGAGCTGGAGCAGCTTCACTCAACACACTGAACTCTGTTAGCGCTGACATGCTAATTCAAGTTCAGGCTTTGAACGTTTACCAAAAACAGCACAGGGGAACGTCACCTGACACACCCTGATGGAGAATAAAGGAGCGGCTGCTTCTCTCAGGTCATTGTTATCGTCTTTCCACATTAGCATTGTGCTAATGCCCTGGAGCAGGAGCTGCTGTTGAGGTTTCACTCTGAAGATGATCAGTTGATCAGCAGCTTCCTCTTAAATTTATATGAAAACTGAACAGATGAATTTGGTTTTTTGCTCACTCTGATCGTGTGTTTTTGTTTTTGAAGCTGGATTTGTTGAACATGAAAAGCTGGAAAGATCCAGATGTCTTTTATGTTCTGCAACTCAAAGGATTTTAACTTAATGAGTACACAATGTTGCACAGTTTAATGGAAAAAGAGTTACAGGGAGAGGAAACGGCGCTGACATGTGGCTTTCATTTTTCATTAGCTGACAACTCTCAAAACAAAATAAGTCAAGTTTATTTGTATAATACATTACAGCAACAAGGCAGTTCAAAGTGAAAAACATAAAAACATTGTTCAGTCATCAATTATGAAACAAGCAATAAACATCACATTTTGTCATATCATCTGAATCTCCAAGCAAATACACATCAAATGTGTTGAAGCAGCTCTGAACAGGTGGGTTTTAGTCCTGATTTACTCAGTGTCTTAAACTTATTTGGTGCTAAGCTGTTCAGTGATTTACAAACTAACAGAAGTATTTTAAAGTCAATTCTCTAGATCTTGCTGGGACTTTAGTCCTTTAGTCCTGGAAATGTTCTTCAGGTGACAGAAGGCCGACTTTCTAACTGTCTTTATGTAACTCTAAAGGTTCAGGTCAGAGTCTGTCACCCAGATTTCAGGCCTGGTCTCCAGTTCCTAGCTGTAATAACCGAAAATAAGTATTTCTGAGCATAGAAAGCAACCTTTATTTACTTCCTGAACATTTCCAAGCATATTTAATCTTGATCACATCTATTGATTTGATCAGAAATCGTAGTTTTTTTTCTTGCTACAGAGTTAAGTCCTTGCAATGCATATTGTGCTCACGGTTTTCACAGTGCTATAAGTAGCAGAACACACACACACACACACACACACACACACACACACACACACACACACACACAGAAGTCGATACAAAGTCCTAATATTTTGCACCATATTTGGACTTTGTATTAATCTCCATTCATTTTGTTTGTTACTGGTTTCTCAATTGTTGACTGTATGATGTTTTTATGATTTGTTCTTGTATTTTTATGGTGCAACAGATTTGAACTGCCTTGCTGCTGAAATATTCAGTTGAACAAATTACAAGTATACAACAAACAAGCAAATGAGTGTATATGAGGAATACAGCACTTGCATAAATAAAAAGCCAGAATTGTTAAACAAAAACGAAACGTATTTGAATTTACTGATTGAGCTTTAGCTTTAGTTAAATGCTGTTAGTGTTGAGCTTAGCTTAGGTTTAATATTGTGTTGGTGTCGCACTTAGCGGAACTAATGTTTACGATTACTGCTTCATGGTTAGCGCAGCTAGTTGTTTAGTTAGTGGTGATCACTACTTCCTAAACCTAAATCAGTTCCTAGTCTAACCATTACTAGTCTATTCCTGATCTTAACAAAACTTAATTCACATCGCATCTCTAAACCTAACAAGTAGAGCTGCAGCGAAAATGTCCTCGCTCTTCACAGTGACCTCAATTTGTGGGTTAAAGTGGAGGAACTGGTCCTCTATATGTAGAGGACCAGTATGCAAGTACACACACACACACACACAGCACCTCTGATTGATGTGTGCAGGATGTTTTGCTGGTGATGTGTGACTGTTTGAACTTGCAGTGAGGTAATGAACACAAACACAAGCTTTGGGAGGTAAAAGGGTGGGGGTGGTGACATCATGGGGTCAGAGGTCAACTCCCCTGACCTTACAGCTGTTCTCTGCTCAGTTTTTAGTGATTTAACACGAAGAGCAGAAATGTTTGAAGGAGTGTCTTGTTTTTCTCTGTTTGTGTAAACTGTAGCCAACATTACAGCGGTGCAGTAATGAGTTCAACGGTCGCAGTTCTTCTGACTCCCTCTGTATGATTTACTGTTGCTTACGTGACATTTTCCAAATAAAAGCCTTCAGGTCAGGCTTTCCCATGCAGCCAGAAAATCACCTCAACATGAGAGGGACGACCTGAGTCTGGCTGTGCAATACTTCAGTTGCATTTTATCCATAATACAGCTGAAACCAGATATTTACTGTAACATATCCGCAGCAGTTTTTCCTCTCTAGCTGCGTTTCCGTTGACCAGGAAATTGTGACGATAAATTTTAGTGGAAATGCCAGTTTTGAAAAAAATGTTTTCTTTTTAATTAAAGTCTTTGTGCAAGGTTGAAGTGGTTTTTCAACATTTTTGAAACTGCAATGGAAACACTTTGACGCTTTTGATGAAGTTGTTGGTTCTCCTCTAATGACTGAAATAACCTGAAACCAGGCTTCTTGATAATATGGTTTTCTGGATGATAAATTGTCCTAGAAGTTATTGTGATAATGCTGATATTGTTGTTTTGAGACCATTTTCCAGTAATATAATGGTAATAATGGCATAATGATGAAAGAAAACATTTGCTAAGATCAAGAAACTTTAAAAACTTTAAATTCTAATGAATATTTAACTCTGGAACTGGAAGATGTTTTAAATATCCAAACTTAACAAAACAAACAATAAATAAAATGAAATATAAAGTCTCTGGAAACAAAATTATCCTTCAATAAAGAGTTTAGTTGAGAGCAGCAGACTGAAGACTTTTATCATCCAGTTTTTGGTAGAAAAGAAAAACAAAAAAAATCACTGAAATGGAAATTAAGTTTGTTTCAGTTTATCATGTGATTGATTATTGCTTCTGTTGGTCACCTCCCAGGTTAAGAACCACTGGCTTAGAGTCAAAGTTTAGAAATGGTTTATTTTTTAAATATGAATCTCTGAAACATGATCTTTGCAGTAATGTTGGAACACATTTCTTTTGTTTCACTTCATATTGTGTAACATTTAGTTAGCTGTACGCTGAGCCAGGATCTTTGTGGAGTCATAAAGTCTCTTTCGAAGTATTTACCCCCTGGATGTTTTACCCCTTCTATTGTTTTTACGGAAGATAAACTAAGTTTGTCTTTTTGAAGAAAAACCTACCATGTTGCCTTTTATCTGATTTCTTGCTGGAGGTTTTAAACTCCAGAGTTTTCTCCTCCTACGCTGAGCCCAACAGATTGTTTGTGTTTCTGTGATTTTTCTGTGTTCATGATGTCACAGTGCGCCTTTGTTTACCTCGAGCTCGGCTGTTTTCTGGGTTTGGGCCTGAAACTCGCTCCAGACTCGGCGTTGATGTGCTCCATCTGTGGTTCAGTTCGATAATCGTGCAGGACAAATCCACTCTGTAGCAGCTAACCTGAGCGTAGCAAACACACTCACTCACTCACTCACTCACTCACTCACTCACTCACTCACTCACTCACTCACTCACTCACTCAGGGTCCATGATGGCGCTGGTCCCTCCTCCAAAGTAAAAGCACTGTAAACACCCAGAGGTTTCCGTGAGTTTCCGTCTGATCGGCGGCATTTTGGACTTCAGCAGCTCTCGGACTAACAATGTAGCCACTTCCTGTGGCGTCGGCTCAAACAGGAAACAGGAAGTGGTGGCTGGTTCTGTTGGCGCCAGCCTCACCTTTCACCTGTTAGTGCTCTGATATGGATGAACTGGGAATGTTGGTGATTACAGACTGGGAATTCCAACAAAGCAAAACCACTCAGTAAAAAAATGTGGAATAATTAAATTTTTTTTACTGAATTTTTTTCAAACAATTAAAATGTCTTACTAAACATTTTATTGTTTGGATTAATTTTTGGAAGTTCATTAAAAATTTTGTTTGGAATATTGAACTTTATCATTTTGCTCATATTTTAGTGTAATATTAGGATCTGACCCCGAGCTCGTGAATTATTTGGATTATTAGGATCATTATTTTGATATTTAATTTTTTCTATTTCTTTGTGGGTTTAAACTAAGACCACTAATTATTAAAATGTTATTTAATAAATACTTATTTGTTTTTTTTTGTCTAAAGTCTGTTAGAAATTAAATTTAATATGTAGCAACATATTTACAAACATTTCCACATATTTTGCATTTAAATTTTAACAGTAAAAATAATTTCATATTTTTGGAGAAATTCTTAAATTTAATTATAAATTTTGTACTTTTCTGTGACAAACAGAATAATTAGATGATCTAAATGTTTAGTTTCTCTTTATTTAACAGGAACAAACTAATTCAGCTTTGCCTCTTAAACATGGAGGTTTCAGGCTTCATCCCTGGTTAGCTTCCAGGATTTAGACAAATTTAAAAAGCTTAGAGGTTTCAAATATTACCAGTAATAAAATAAAATAAAAAAAATCTAATAATGCAGTTCAGTTTTCGCAGTGCTGTGATCATTGAGCCTCTGTTCAGCCGTTCTGCTGCTGGTTCCGACCCAAAAGGACCCGGACTGAGCAGAACCCGGTCCATCTCCTCCGCAGTCCTCTGCCCGCTGCTCTGTAAGAACGGCGGCGTCTGCCTGCAGACGGACCGCTGCCTCTGCCCCGCTAACTTCACCGGGAAGTTCTGCCAGATCCCCGTCCCGCCCCCCGGCGCCGCCTCCACCAATGAGATCGTCCGGCTGCCGCTGCCCTCCTCCGCGGCGGCCAATCAGGAGCTGATGCGGTCGGAGTTCCTGCTGCCGCTCGGCCAGACCCGGGCGGCGCCGCCGTCCGCAGGTGAGTCGACGCACCTCGCTGGTCAAAGTGTTTATGAGACGTTTTTATGTTTTCAGAGAAACGTTTGGTTTGTCTGTGAGTTTCATGTTTCTTTTACCAAACACGAAGACCCCCGCATGGTAAAGGTCAGAGTTCAGCACCCCCCAGAGGCCAGCGTGAAGATCCACCAGGTGATGAAGGTAAAGCCAGTCATCTCCTCTCATCCAATCAGAATCAACTTCCTGTTCAAGTTGCTCAAAAAACTAGGAAATATTTTGGTTTCAGTTTTTTTATGAATTTAATTGAATTTTGATTTATTTTGGGATTTTCATTTGACATTCTTTAAATTATGTCTTTTTACAAATTTAGTTTGAATTTATTTTAAATTGTGTATTTGATTCTATTTTTATTTAATTCTTACTAATATTTTTCAATTTATTTAGTTATTTTATCTTTCACTTTTGTTTTTTAAAATTTCTTACTTGAATACTTTTTACATTATTTTAATAGTTTTATTAGACTTTTTTAATAGTTTCATTTGGTAGTTCCTATATTTTTTTCATTTTGCACTATGTTGTAAAAAAAATTAATTTCCCTGTATTAACTTTATTTTTAAAAAGTTTAATTTATTTTACTAATTTAGTTTTTCGTTTAATCTCCATGTGTGATTAATTATCTTTGTTGTTTTTATTTATTAAATTCTGTCTAACTTGAACAAAATCACAGATTCTTTGCCTCCGTGTCGCTCCAGGTGTCCGGGTCCAGCCCGGCCCTGCGGACCCTCTCCTCCTCCTCCTCTTCGGGTTCGGCTGGCGCCCCGGCTCCGGCTCCAGCAGGTGGCGCTAGAATCCAGGCCCAGACTCTGAGGGGCGGCGGTACCTACAACCAGCAGTCTGGCTTCAAATACTGCTTCAGAGAGGTGAAAGACGGACAGGTGAGAGGAGGCAGGTAACAAACCGCTTCCTGTTTGACAGACGGTGAACTTTAAGATGTCGCTGTGAATCTTTGTGATATGTAGCCAGTTTCCATCCTCCTGGAGCAGATTATTCCTGCGGTGTGATCTGTGTTCGCTGTGTTTGTGTGTTTGCAGTGCAGCTCTCCACTTCCTGGTCTGAGGAGCAGAGAGGTGTGCTGCAGGGGAATCGGGAAGGCCTGGGGTCTCACCGACTGCAGCCTCTGTCCTGAAGCTCCAGGTAGAAACACAGCGAACCCCCAGAGGACACAAAACTGTCACTTTAAAATAACTGAGCAAAGCTAAACAAATATTAAAAAAGCTGAACTAAAACAAAACTGACACAAGATCAAATAAACAATCTGTAAAATAAATGAGCTTAAGATAAACTATGGTAACATAAACTTAGGTAAAAGAAATGAAGCTTCACTAAGCTAAATAAAATAAAATAAACTAATATGAACGAAATGAAGCAAAGTTTATGTAAGACAAAAATATCATGAATACCATGAATTATCCCAGGTTTAGGTAAATTAAAGGGCGAGGTGGGAAGTCAAAGCTAGATGAAATGTTATTGACAAATGTAAATACCAAACTATTAAATATAAAGGAAGGTAACATATGTTAAGGTAAGCTAAGGTTAAATAAACTAAGATCAGCTAAGCTAATTACGGTAAACCTAAGTAAAGTCAAGTAAGCTAACCAAAGTTAGATAAATGCTGATTTTCTGAATTGATGTTTTATTTGTTCGCAGGTCAAAGCAACAGCAGCTGTCCTGTTGGCTTCGAGCGAACCAATGGAACGCAGTGCGTCGGTGAGTTAAACACCCACACAGAGAGGTCAAAGGTCAGAGGCAGGTGGAGGGCTCCTAAGATGAGTTTATCCAGTCCAGAAGGGGGCGCTAATCCTCCAGTATATCAAACATGAGCAGAAGGTTTTATTTTCCTTTTTGTATTCAGATTTTTTTTTACATAAACATAGAAAAACATTAATATTTTTTATATTCAAGTTGTTTTGCAGGAACTCGTCTAAATCATATCTGCTCCGGTTTTAATAATCAGGAGATTTTAATCTGCAGATTAATTTTCCTGCAGAAACCATGCGTGGTTTTCTGAACTGAGTTTCAGGTCTTAGGGTTGCAGCAGTTCTCCTCCCGTCTCTGAATGTCGGAGTCGTGGAAGTGAAATCCCGTCACTCACGCGTGTGTGTGTTGGTGTGTGTAGATGTGAATGAGTGCCTGCAGCCAGGGCTGTGTGAGAACGGCATCTGTGTGAACACCAGGGGGAGCTATAGCTGTGTGTGTCGGTTGGGGTTCATCCTCGATGCCACACATGGAATCTGCATCTGTAAGTAACACACACACACACACACTCCGCCGCTGGCTTCACCAGAGGAATAACGCAACTCTTCCAGAATCCTCCTGAATGTCCGTGGGGCGATGCACAGGCTTCCATCAGGTGGGAAGTGAGGCGTTCAGGCGGTTTCGGTGAATCCTGGCCGCAGTTGCGTCATTCCGACCGGCATTCCTCGACGGAGGAGGAAGGAGCTGCAGGATGCTGGTCTGGCTGCTGTCTGAGGCATCGTCTCTGTTTCCGCTTCTAAAAACTTTCATTTTCCAGGATATTGTTTTTAAATCCAAATCTTTTTGCTCCAGTTCCTGGGTGTCTGTCTTGTTTTGAGCCCAGAAACTGAACCAGAAGGGATTCATCTGAGTTACAGGAAGCAGTAAAATCTACAGATAGAGCGCGGGTTAGCTGATTAGCACAGCAACACCAAGCCAGGAGTAACAGGTACAACAGAAAGTTAATGTCTGCAACATCTACTGATAAAAGAGCAGTAGGAGACAGTAATAAAGAACAGACAGTGGTGAGCAACACTAACTGGCATGTTCACTGCATTAACCATGAAGTGCTAATCATAAACGTTAGCTCTGCTTTAGCACTGTACCAACATGGTATTTAGCAGTAGCTAAGAAGTTATACCAACAGAGTATTTAGTATGCTAATGCTAAAGTGCTAACTTCAATCATGTTGATAACCACCGTGTACTACAATATATATCGCCCTCTACAGGATCAAATCTGCTACTGCATCCAGCCTGTCTGGTTCGGGAAGTGATTTTTGATTTTTTTGGAACAGATTTTTGGTTTAAGTTTTGCAGAGTTTTGCTAATTGACCACGGTACTGCTGCGTTCAGAAAGCAGCAGGACATTGATTTTAGCTGCTTCCTGTACAACTACAGCAATGCATTCTGGGTACAGAATAACATGGGGAGAGGAAATGGAACTACTGAGTAAACATTCTTCAAAATAAGAGCATGAATAAACGTCTAACAAGTGGAATAATTCAACACAGATGTTGAAGTTTATTTAACTGAAAGTTTACAAATCAGCTAAATTAATTTAAGTTAAGCTAAGTGTGCCGAACGTTTTCAAAGTTAGCAAACATGCTAAAGTGCTAAAGGACAAGCTAGCTGCGCTATTAGCGGATTTCTGACTGCTCCTGAATGAAGAACTCCAGATGTATTTGACTCTTGGTTGGTCCAGAACTTCCCATCCATCTCCCTGATTGTTGTGTCTCGGCCCGGTTTTGGTTTTGCTCGGCTCGGTTCTGGTCTTGTATCTGCCTTTATTCTCTGAAAGCACCAGGAACTGGACTCTGTGTGTTTCTGCTGGACAGAGATCAGCATGTTCTGGTTCTGCATGCGGCGCTCTGGCGTCTCGGCCCGTTTGGACCGGAATGTGCTCGGTGACGTATCTCCGTCTCTGTTTCCTCCTCAGCGCAGAGCGTGATTTCAGAGGAGAAGGGTCAGTGCTACCGGGTCCTGGGCTCGAGTCGGGGTCCGTATACCTGCTCCCTGCCCATCGTCCGGAACATCACCAAGCAGATCTGCTGCTGCAGCCGGGTCGGGAAGGCCTGGGGGCCCGACTGCGTGCGGTGCCCCTTCTTTGGTTCAGGTGGGTCGGTTCTGTTCCAGTGGTTCTCTGGAGCTTTTCGTCAGACTTTCTGTTTGCTCTGTTTGCTCCTCAGTTGCCTTTAAGGAGATCTGTCCGGCCGGCCCGGGTTACCATTACTCGGCTTCGACTCTGCAGATCAGCCAAAGAGTGGACGGCGATTCGACGGGCCGAGAATCCCTGCTGACCGCGCAGGGCGGCTCAGGTTAGCATCCAGTTGGATCCAACGCAGCGCCTCACGTTATCTGGGCCGCTTCTGAAGGTTTTAATCATAACACATGTTAAAGTGTTTGTTTAAAAGAAGAAGGAATCAGATTTTGTTATTTTTACTTTTGGGAAAACCGTTTATTCAAATTCATTTGAACAAAAATATCTCAGTTACAAAATGCTCCCTATAAACTGTTTGTTGGTCTTAATTGGCAAAACTGATGACCAGTTTGGGGAACACTTTAGCTAATCCGCTAATAGCGAGCTAATTTTCATTTAGCGCTAGTATTTTTACTAACTTTGAAAGTTACAAATAAATTCTAAATCGCTAAGCTAAAAATGAGCTCCATGGTTATTTGTGGAGCTAAGTTTTTAGTTTAGCTTTGTGGTTCAGTCCTTTTGCTAAGTTTGAAAACACTTAGCATACATACATCTTCACTGAAATACATTTCTGGATAACTTCCAAAACTAAAAATTAGCACCACTATTATTAGCAGAGCTAATTTTTTTCTCTTTTTTTTGGTAGTTTTAGCTTCCGCTAAATTATTTTTTTCTGAATAAATAAAATGCTAAGCTAAAAATTAACTTGGCAGTTGTTAGCAGAGCTAATTTTTAGAGTAGCAGTTTTGCTAACCTTAGAAATATTTAGCACACTTAGCTTCCGCTAAATAAAATGTTTCGGATAATTTCTAAAGTTCTATTCAACTTTATTCGTTTGAATATAGTTGTGCTGAAGTTTTGATTATCGGCTGTTAAGAATCCTTCAGGTAGTTAGATGTTTATATTCATGCTCTTATTTTGAAGGGGAGGAAGACCGTTTTTGCAGCACTCTTTCTTCAGTGAGCAGTAGGAGGAACCAGCGCTTCTTTGTTTGAATCGGAACATAAACTCGGTTCCTTTTTCTCCTTCAGCAGAATCGGACCTCCAGAACTTCTGATGATCATTCATTAATGTTCTGGACCTCCTTCTTCCCTGCAGATCTGGTTCCCGGGTCCAGCACTGCTGGAGCCTCCAGTTCTCAGCAGAGACCCAGTTCATCCGGGTCACCATCTGGTACCAGAACCGGTCCAGTCCAGTCCCAGATTCAGGTCCCTGCTCAGCCGGGCGTGACTGCCGTTTCCAGACCGACTCCCCCTGCTGGTTCTGCAACCCGAACTGCTCAGGCCCGACCGGAGGTCCAACATGGCCGACCGGAGGTCCAACATGGCCGACCGGAGGTCCAACATGGCCGACCGGAGGTCCAACATGGCCGACCGGACCCCCAACATGGCCGACTGGAATTCCAAAATGGCCGATTGGACTCGGCTCTGGCGAGGCCGCAGCCGCCGCTGGCGTTGCCGTCCTCTGGATCGCAACCCGACCTGGCGCCGGTACCAGCGGACTCTCTGCCGACCCCGGCCCCGCCCCGGACCTCGGAGCGCGGGTCCAGACCTGGACCAGAACCACCCGGTCTGGAGAGACGGCCGGCTGCGAGCCCGACCAGCCGGCCCGGCAGAGTCCAGCGTGAGTAGAGCCAGAACCAGAACTGGATTATCCGGTTCTGGCTGTGCGTTGGTAAAGAACCGGGTCAGTTTATGTTGAAATATCTGAAATAGATTCTTTAGATTAAATATGAATCTGTCTCACCAAATTCTGATTAATTTTGCCTCCAAAGTCTGAACCTTCTCAGAACTTCAGACTCAAAATGAGGTTTAGGTTTTGTTTTGTTTTTTAAAGGAAAAGTTAAAAACATTTTCATATTCTGAAGTATTTTATAATTTCAGATTAAAAATAAATTATTTTACATTTTTTTAAAGAAAAATAAAACATATTTCTGGCAGCGTCATGTTACAACAATAACAAATTTTACTGGATGATAAAATGTCCCAGTAATTATTGTGATAAACAATAATATTGTTTTGAGACCATTTTTAATATATTGACAATGTAAACAAAGTATTGATCTCAGCTTAGTTCATCATGTTATCATTTGTTTATTGTGAAAGGTCAATGTGCATTCATTAGCGTGCGTGTGTGTGTGTGTGTGCAGCTGTCCGTGGCGTGTGTCAGATCAGACCAGGTGTGTGTGAGCGTGGCCGCTGCGTGGATCTGCCAGGTGGGAAACACACCTGTGAGTGTGATGAGGGATTCCAGCCCAACGCTCAGCGGAGCCGCTGCTTCGGTGAGAAAATCCACTGGACGGACGAAACCTCAACATGATTCATTATTAAAATGTTTCATTTCATCTGAACATCAAACTGTTTGACATTTTTGATTATTAAAAAAAAATTCAGCAGTCATTTTTCATCCTGAATCTTAAATTATTCAGATAATTTTATTACAAATTTGAATCAAGACAAATGGAAAAAACATTGCAAAATATCAAATATAAAGAACAATTCAGTCAGAATTATAGCAGATATTAAATCTGAAAACAGTAAGCTATCAAAAAGATGTCTTCCACCAAATTTAAAACAATTAAAAGCTCTGGAAATAATCAATAGTTTAGTTGTTAGTAATTCATTAAATCTACGGAGCTAAATTGAGGCCATAAAATTTGTTCAAAAACTTTGTACTGAAACTGAAAAGAATTGAATGTAAAAAAATATTGAGATTGAAACAAAATATTTCAAATTGAAGAATAACTTTTAAACTAAAAATGATTAAATGGAGAAGAATGAAATCTACTTTTTCATTTAAGTGTTTTTATCAGATTCAGAGGAAGAAGAATCATGGCTGACAGTACGGAGCTAAATTTGTTCAAAAAATTATTTTTTGAAACTGAAGAAAAAGTTAAAATTAAAACTTTTGTAGCAATAAATGCCAAAAATATTGACTTTGTTGAAAGATAACTGGAAAAAATGTCAACTAAATGTAAAAAATTAAACATAGAAATAAATATGTATAAAAAATATTGAAATATTGTTTATAATGCTTTTATTTCCTCGTGTTGAATCCCAGATGTGGACGAATGTCAGCAGAATCCCTGCAGTAACGGGCGCTGTGAAAACTCCCCAGGGAGCTTCAGGTGTGACTGTTACCATGGTTACAGGCTCACTGGGAACACCTGTGAAGGTAAAGGAGGCAATATTTCTGCTCTGACTGGAAGATGTTTCGGGTGTGTTTACCTGTGTGTTGCTACCTGTGTGTGTGTTTACCTGTGTGTTGCTACCTGTGTGTGTGTTTACCTGTGTGTGTTCCAGACGTGGACGAGTGCGTGGATCCGCTGCGGTGTCCAGGTCAGGAGTGCATCAACACGCCGGGTTCGTTCCGCTGCTCGCCCTGCCAGCCTGGATTCGGGCTGCTCAACGGGATCTGCACAGGTAACGCTAACCTGCCTCTCACCTGAGGCGCTGGGTTCTGATTGGACCGGACCCGTCCAACTCCGATTCTCCGTCGTGTTCGCAGACATCGACGAGTGCCGTCAGTCCCCGTGCTCCGGCGGCCGCTGCGAGAACACGCCCGGCAGCTTCCGCTGTGTCTGTCGCCATGGTTACAGGCTCCAGAACAACACCTGTACAGGTAGGCGCGGTTCGGTCGCGACGCCGCTCGGCGGGAGCGGTCGGGTCAGTGACCGGGTCCGCTGTGTGTTCAGACGTGGACGAGTGCGCGGAGCCGTCTCAGTGTCCGGGGCAGATGTGTGTGAACTCTGTGGGGTCGTACAGGTGTGTGTCGTGTCGTCCAGGATACACGCTGACCAACAGGCAGTGCACAGGTGTGTTCACACACACACACACACACACACACACACACACACACACACCGAGGTTCTGTTATCAGAATCACAGAAATGTGATGGATTCTCCACATTATTAGAAATATCATCATCATTTATCGTGAAATTTATTAGTCTATCATTTTTCTTATTTATATTTTGAGAGTTAAAACAAAATGTCATAAGTAATAAAGAAGATATTCTGTTGTTTTTACTCAACAGCTCTGTTTTCAGCTGCTGATGTGTGTAGTACCTAACCACTCCACCAGATGGCGAACCGCCCAACGTTGCTTTGGGTGTTTAGTGAAGCTCTATTTTAGTTCTGGTGTACCACACAGACCAGTACTTGGCCCACCTGTGTTCTGTTTTCATGGTTCTCAGCTTGATCATTTTGGGCCATAAGAGTCAACCTGTTTGCTGATGATACTCAGGTTTTCATCTGACTTACCGTAAACGTTCCAGCATGTTTCTCCTGCAGACATCTTGTCTCGTTTCAGAGGAAATGTGTGTTTGGTTGCTTCGGCTCTTGGTTCTGACTGAGAAGGTCTTTTAAAATATATTCCACAGTCCATGAGTCCTGGCGGTATATCTGTCTGTTGCCTGGTTTTCGGTGCCTAAATCAAACAGATTCATCACCATCATCATCATGAAAGCCTTCAGTTCGTCTCCAGCGAACCTCCACTCAGCTCTAGTCTTACTAACCAGGAACTGATGTAACATTCAGAGGTGGAACTGGAGCCTCTGGCGCTCTGAACGTTTGAAACGGCGCCAACTACATCACTGATTAATATTAGCGCTAAAGCGCTATATCACCTCAGTATTTAGCTGAAGCTAATGCTAAAGTGCTAACTTTAGTTCAGATTATATCTGTCATTGACAGACTACAAACCTCCAGTAGCAGTTTAACTTTGACATGATCATTTTTTTTCTTTAATGCCTTTAGCTGTTATATTTGTTTGTATTTGTTGAAGATTTCTTAACAGTCGGTGACCAGTTTCAAGACAGATGTGGAACTTTCTTCAGCTGAAAGCCACTTACTTTTCTACATTGATTTAGGAGAAACTAAGTGTTGTAAAAAGTTAGCAAAAATGTTTAAGAGCTAAGCTAAAAATTAGCTCCTCTGTTAGCGCGCTAGCAGAAGGAAGTGCTCACTAAGCTAGCTCTGTCCTGCAGACGTGGATGAGTGTGCGAGCGCCGGAGCGTGTGACGCGGAGCAGGTGTGTGTGAACAGCGTGGGCTCGTTCAGGTGCGACTGTCGCCCCGGTTACCGGAGCTCCGGCCTGGGCAGGCGGTGCACAGGTGAGCAGAGCGCGGCGCCACTGAGGTTGGTTTAAACGGAGCTTCTGATCAGGTTTGTGTCTTCAGACGTTAACGAGTGTTTGGAGGGAGACTTCTGCTTCTCCAGAGGAGAGTGTGTGAACACACCTGGATCATACACCTGTGTGTGCTCACCTGGATTCACGCTGAGCGAGAACAGGACGGCCTGCCTCGGTGAGCCTCGTTCAGACTCAGAGCTCTGGTTTCTGACTTAAACGTCTCTTTTCATTTGTTTTTTCATTCGATCGAAGTTTATTAATCAAGGTGACGATGTTACCTGCTTGAACAAACAAACTGAAGGTTTTTAGCCACAGGCTAATTAGCAAACACAGTCTTGGCTGCTGGACTTTAAAGCTGCAACTATGATGTTTGTTTATTGATTATTCTGATAATTAATAAGATTTTAAAGAGTCACATTCTGCAGATTTTTCATTTAACCTCTTAAGCTTTTATATAAACTTAGAAATACATTAAAAGATTCAATCAAATAATTCAGTAAAATTTTTTAAGTAAGAAAAGCTCAGATTGAGCATAAATACTGCCATTGGGGATTGATATGGGGATTAATTATAGACTAATAATTGGTTGCAGAAGATGCTTCCTAGCAGATTTTACCAGAATTTGAACCAGTGAAGCTAAAAATGCCACTTTTAAAATCTAAAAAGTGGAATTTTTGTTTGTATTTTTGTGCAGTTTTGACTTGATTTCTGCTCTGTGTTTTCAGCAAACAGCCTCCAGTTAATGATCAGCTGGTTAATAAATTAGTAGATAATTATTTCAGTAATTGATTAACCATTCCAGGTTTTCATATTTTTGTCTTGATGGCCATATATTTAAATTTCCCTCCCAGACGTGGACGAGTGTGTGAGGCCTGGTGTGTGTTCAGACGGCCGCTGTGTGAACACCGACGGCTCCTTCCAGTGTCGGTGTCACTCGGGCTTCAGCGCCAACCCGGAGCAGACCGCCTGCCTCGGAGCGCCGCCGGAGCGCCGCCGGAGCGCCGCGCCGTCCCGGACGTCCTCACTCAGCCCTCCTGTCTCTCTGTGTCCCCAGATGTGGATGAGTGCGTGTCCAGCGGCGGCTCTGTTTGCCCGTCGCGGCGGTGTGAGAACACCATCGGCTCGTTCCGCTGCCTCGCCACCTGCCAGCCGGGTCAGCGGGTCGCCGCCGACGGCTCGTGCGTCGGGCCGCCCGTGTCGGCTCCTGCCTCGGCGGCGGCGGCCTCGCAGCCCGCAGCACCACGGCTCCCATCGTCTGTTCCAGGTCAGGATGATGATGAGTTTGCTCTCTCTCTCTGTGAACTATTTCCTCATGGCTTCCACTATGATTTAACTTTTTCACATCGTTTAACATAGTAATTATAATGTAGGAACATTTCTCTGTTCTGATGAAAACGTGTGACAGCAGCAGCCTTTACTTCCTGTTTTATGTTGCTAACCGTGAATCTCTTTGGTAAACCTGCTGGTTGTTTTAAAGGATTATACAAATACATCCATTAAAAATATTTGGTAAGATTTTGTGTTCAGATCTTTTAAAGTTCAGCGTTCTTTCTGCCTCTCCAGAGTCCGGGTCCCGCCCTGAGTCCACACACTCCTCTTCCTCCTCCGGGTCCCAGATCAGTGCGGTGGATGTTTCTGCGGTTCTGCACCACTCGTCTGCAGCGCAGCCCGGTGAACTGAGGGACTGCTACTACAACCTGGCAGCAGGCGGCTGCAGCCTGCTGGCGGCCAACACCAGCCAGCAGGAGTGCTGCTGCACCGCGGGGGAGGGCTGGGGGTGGGGCTGCCGCGCCCACGCATGCCCTGCCGCAGACACAGGTGGGACCTGCAGGACGCATGTGGCCGCGGCGCTGCCGCCTGCTGCGTCGCTGCCGCCGCGTCGCTGCCGCCTGCCGCGTCGCTGCTGCTGCGTCGCTGCCGCCTGCCGCGTCGCTGCTGCTGCATCGCTGTGTTCTTACGGCTGCCGTTTGTGTTGCAGCTGACTTCCTGTCCCTGTGTCTCAGTGGGAGGGGCTACGTGACGGCAGGGTCGGGCTCCTTCAGCTACACAGGTACCCGCCGACCCGCCATGTCTCACCCTCTGGTTGCCGTAGCAACGGCGGCCTCTCAGCCTCCTGCTGTCTGTCCCCAGACGTGGACGAGTGTAAGCGCTTCCATCCTGAGGTGTGTAAGAACGGCGTGTGTGTGAACAACATCCCGGGCTACAGGTGCTACTGCTCCAGCGGCTTCGTCTACAGCGCCGCCCTGCTGGAGTGCATCGGTACAGACACAGCTGGGTCCGGCTGCGCCCGACCTCCGGCTGCGCCCGCTGACTCGTTTCCCTTCTGTAGATTACGACGAGTGTGAGGAGGAGAGCTGCGTGGGCGGCGTGTGTGTGAACACGGTGGGGTCGTTCTACTGCAGTTGCCCGCCGCCGCTGGTGCTGGACGACACGCAGAGGAACTGCGTCAACGCCTCGCACCTCACCATGGGTATCCCTTCCTCATCCTCATCTTCATCACATAGCCAGCATCTCAGATCAGTCCATGTCGGTAATCAACGATTAGTTTCATCCAACATGCTGCCCTCAGTTTGCTCTCCGGACCGGAGGGAAAATGAAACTGATCTCACAAAATCCAGTTTTTATCCTCAGAGCTGAATCTGCTGCTGCTGCCTAGATTTCCTCCTGTTCCGTTTTCCATGTTCACGTTTTTGAACTATTATGTCTCAGAACATCTAAACAGGGTTATGGACTTCTGGCTAACTGACATTTTTATTTCTGACAGCGATTTTAACTTATTTGTTATTTTTAAATTTAAGTCAGAATGTTGAGCTGTTTAAACCCAAACAGTTCGTCTCTCTGTCCGAAACCTCAAACTGCTGCTGCGCACGTTACTCAGCAGGTTGTTGCTAGGCAACCGAAGTTACTCAGCAGGTTGTTGCTAGGCAACCGAAGTTACTCAGTTACTGATTTTTTTCATGTTCATAGTGGCACAAACATTTGTCCCTCCATTTCTTTAAAACCTAAATAAATCCTAAACAGTTAATCTGTGATCAGGTTCTGTTGATTTTCTGCTGTGGAGTCAAAGAAAATGGCCGCCTGCGGCGCTGCCGTTCAGCTGCAGGTCGAAGGCCAAACCTCCTTCAGGCCTCCAGCTGCTTCGTTGCAGCCGCCAGCGCTGCAGGTTGCGGCGTGTCGTCTGCGTATCGACAGAGCTGCTGTTTGTGTTGCATCCAGATGAGAACCTGTCCTTGTGCTGGCAGCACGTCAGCGCCGACCTGCTGTGCCAGAGTCCTCTGCTGGGGGCGCAGGTCACCTTCATCGACTGCTGCTGCTTCTACGGCGAGGGCTGGGGGATGGGCTGCGCCCTCTGCCCCGCCACCGACTCAGGTAAGCGTCGCGCTGCGGGGCGGCCCGCCTGCGCCGGCCGCGGCGCGCTGACGGCCGTCTGTCTGTCTGCAGAGGACTACGCCTCTCTGTGCAGCTCCTACTCTGCAGCGGCGTTCCCTGGAAGCTTCCCAGACTCCGCCGGACCAGAAACCGGGCCGGGGCGAGGAGGTACGATAAGACGATGACCTCATCAGGCTGTGCAGCATCTGCCTCCAGCTGATTGGCTGTTCCTTCAGACAGCAGTAGCAAATCAGGGAGGATGTGGAGGAGATGGATCTGCTCACATTACCTGACTCATTGCAAACTGTCTCAACATGGAGACAGTTTTAATAAATATATAGAAACTTTGGTTATGAAAGTTTCACCTGCTGAACTGAAGCTTTTTCTTAGAGAAGTTTTGCGGCTCTTGATCGTCTCCTGCTTTTCCCAGCTGCTCCCTACAGTCCGGAGTTCTTTCCTGCAGCGCCGCTTCCTGGCAGAGATTTCAGTCAGGACTACGACGACTACTTGCCAGCAGGGGGCAGCAGGTCCGGCTTCAGGGCCAGGCCGCCCGTCTCCTTCGCCCCGCCGGACGACGCCTACGGCGGCTCCGAGTTCAGGTGAGGCCAGCGCCGCCGGCTCCCGACGTCCGGCTGCTCCTTGTGTTTCCTGACGCTCCGATGTTCCCGTCAGCCCCGGTTTCTACCCAGAGGGAGACTACGGCTCCCCAGACGGCTCCGCGCCCAGGACGCCCGCCTTGCAACTCCCTCCGGACCCCCGGTCCGACATCGTCTTCATGGCGCGGCCGCTGCCTCCGTCCAGACCCGACCCACCGCCGCTCAGCCTGGCGCTGCGGCCCGGACCACCGTACGATGACCGGGAGGGCGGAGACTTCAGGGGGTGGAGGCCGGGGGCGGGGCTTCCTCCGTTCACCGACAGCGGAGGAGGCGGGGGCGGCGGGCCACCGAGGGTGTATGAGAGTAAGTCTGAGGCAGAAAAACTCCTGAAATCATGGAACTGATCTGCCTTACGGAGGAAACTTTAAATACTTTCTAGATCAGGACCTGCAGCCTTTACAAACCAAAGAGACATTTCTGCTGTCAGTCCAGCTGAATAAAACTTATTTAGCGCCGCCGATCTCAAAAAACTGTTTCTATTACTGTTAAAAACATGAATCGTTTCCCCTTTTAGTCTCATTTAAATCCCATTAAAATAAGTTTCTGGGTGTGAATACTTGTGTCGTTCTTCCAGGGCGCTACGAGACGCACGCCAGCCTGAGTGCCGCCGAGGATTGTGGGATTCTGCATGGCTGTGAGAACGGCCAGTGCATCCGCGTTGCCGAGGGTTACACCTGTGACTGCTACGCGGGCTTCGAGCTGGACCTGACGTCCATGAGCTGCATCGGTACGTACTGCTGCCGCGCCGCTATGCTGCGCCGCCATGCTGCCATGCCGCCCCGCCATGCTGTGCCGCCATGCTGCCATGCCGCCCCGCCATGCTGCCATGCTGCACTGCGCTGCCATGCTGCCATGCTGCGCCGCCATGCTGCCATGCTGCCATGCTGCCATGCTGCACTGCGCTGCCATGCTGCGCCGCCATGCTGCGCCGCCATGCTGCCATGCTGCACTGCGCTGCCATGCTGCGCCGCCATGCTGCGCTGCCATGCTGCACTGCGCTGCCATGCTGCGCTGCGCTGCCATGCCATTTCTGACTCGCTGTCCGTTTTCCAGACATTAACGAGTGCGAAGACGCTGCTGCGCTGCCGTTCCCATGCGTCAACGCTCGCTGCGTCAACACGGAAGGCTCGTTCCGATGCGTCTGCAGGAGAGGATATGTCATGTCGCGCAGACGCAACCACTGCATCGCTGCTTAGACCCGGCGGGACCTGCGACCCGCTGAACTGCCATCAGCTCACTGGACTGCCACTCTGTTGTGGAAAATGTATTAATTACATGAGCTAACCTGCGAAAAGCAGGAGTTTTTATAAAATTTTAATTTAAATTAGTCGATTTCTTAACAGAACCATGAAGCAGCAGGTTGCTGACCTCTGACCTTTAGCAGGTGGAATGACACTGAACCAAAGTGTTCAGTTCTTTCTGTTTGCACTAAACCGACTGAAGACAGAAGAGCTGATTTAACATCTTCCATGATAAACAGAATCTCATGCTGGTCTTCGTCTAAAGGCTCGTCAACGTTCAGAAAACTTTTCCTTTCCAATCCTGGACAGTTTTATTTATTTCACTGCCAAAAAATAACAAAGATGGAAGAAACGGCTTCAAAACGAGGCTGTCGATGCGTAGAAACGTCCACCAAAGTAAAACGTGAAGATTTATCCAGTGAGGAGAAACAGGAGACGTAGCAAACCGGCACCATAAGGAAGGATTTAAAAGCTTTCTGTGGTGAGTCTCAAACAATTCCTGAGACAAAATCTGTTATTCAAACCACTAACATTTAATTTTTTAAGTCAATTTTAGTCCCAATTTTCATTTCCAATAATCTTAAGGATTATCAGGATCCTGAGAGATTTTCCTGCTGTTTGTTCAGGGATCTGAGCTGCTCCGATCTGAAATCAGGGATATTCATCCTATTGGATCATCTTGGCCCGGTATCGCATCATGTGGCGTCAAACGAGAACGCAGCAGTCTGTTACGTTTAGCCAATCAGAAACACAGAGAGGAATCGTGCAGTGGCTGTTGGAGATCATCAGAGATCTCTTTGTATCGTTTTTTTATCTTTTAACATAATCCACAACCTATCACCACAGAACCAAACCTGTTATACCTACAAAGTTTTATCAAATTTCTCTCAACTTGTTTGGATGTATCATGTTAACATTTCAAATTTAAAGAAAAGCAGATTAAGAGTGTTGATATACAGCAAAGTCAGCCCTGTGGTCTTTCTACAGTCCAAATTTTAATAAATAAACTTTATTTACTTTCTTACTTACAGATTAAACAAAATTAACGATAATAAATCAGGTTGGTGGTTCAAACCTGCAGGGCTCATAGTTTGTCTTCCTGAGGACATTTATGGGCTGAACGTCAATCATATGAAGCAGATTCAGACTGACGGAGCTGAAGTTTTGCGTCATATAAAGTAATGTTTCCATTTCCTGTTTTAAATTAATTATGTATTTGTAGATCAAACATTTCATCCCAAATGACTGTTTTAGTTTCTAGTCACGTGATCCACAGGAAGAGGCTTTGAATGGACCAAATTTAATATTGTTAGCAAGAGAAGTTGATACAAAAAACAAACAATTTTAACAATAGAATTCAAAGCTTCAGATGTTTAATAAAAACTTTACATTTAAGAAAGATTCGTGCAGATGTTAAAATTTAAGGCAATAAAATATCTTCTAGTTTTTAATCAAATATTTTAATGTTGGTTCTGCTCAACCTAAACTTATTTATATAAAAATTAAAGCACTCACTGTTTGCCCTCAACAGTTGGAACATCAGGTAACCAGGTAATGCTAGCAAAGATTTAAATATCAGTTGATATTTAATCTATATCTAGTTGCTAATATTGTTTCTAAGGTTGTAGTATTTTTTTATTTTCAATACACCAAAGTCATTTATTGGTAAGCATTGAGTAGCTAAATATATTTTCTTTAATTTCTACCCATTAACTTATTAGCCAACAGATAAAACCAGGAAGTATTAACATTAATGAGTTCCTTAGCATTCAATCCTTTCAACTGTAAATAGTTGAAAGGATTGAAATCTTAAGGTCTAAAATCAAAGCTGCAGCAGCTGAAATACTTGGGAAAAACATTTAGAGATCAACCACTAACTATTGAAATGAGCCGTTTGGTTTGTTTGTTAGCGTATAGCTGTTTGGCTATAGTTAGCTCAGATGCTAATAAGCAAGCTAAACGTGTTACTGTCAAAACAATAAACGCTTTTGGGCTTGAAAGTTACCTTTGTAAAACCTTTTAAAGGGCTTAAAAGTGTGTCATTTTGAATATGATTAGTTTTTCTCCTAACAGTTGGCACCAGTGCTAATCAGTTAGCAAGTGTTATTTAATCTAAAAAATCAAATATTCTAATATGTTCACTCCTTTATTATTCCACTAAGACTATTTTTTTCTGAAAAGTATTTAGTTTCACTTTTGTAGTAGCTACATGGCTAGCAGCCTCCCGCTTAGTGTCAGCTTTCAGGCCAAAAGCAGAAAGTTGTGACTGAACTCTGTTCACCATGGTGACGTTTCAAAGAGTAAAACATCACAACTTTCAAATCAAATCTGCTCATTTAAATTGCTGAATTGTAAATAGTTCTTGCTGTTTTTACTAGCCAGCATATTAGCTAGCTTGATTTTAGCCACCTGTGTTTATTTCTAAGAAAATGCAATGCTCTTGGTTTTTGTAGTTACTAGTCCAAATATAACCATTTTTACTGTATATATACTTATTTCAACTTCATTTTATTTTAAATGATTTTTTTAATTAGCATTTTTAATTAAACTCGTTGTACAGAACTAAATATGAACTGAAATTCCACCAAATATTCAACTTATTTGTTAAATATTTGTATTACATTTTCAGTGGAAAACAGTGAGTGATATTGTTTAATTTCTGTTTTCAGTTGGATTTATGATCAGCTCCTATTTTGATGTGCCTGCAGTATTTTTTTCCACAGCAGAAGTTTGAAATGAAAATGAAATGTGTATAAAACTTTCCTTTATGTGATATTATGCTAAATTACGTGTCATAAGCTTTATTTTTCCTCTTCAGCAAATGAAGGTTCAAGTAAAACATGCACTGTATCTGCCAAAGACCAGCTTCCTCACTCACAGTGGCTTTCATAACCAATCTGAAACCATATTTTTGGTTTTTAAATGGTTTTATTTTAAAGCTTGATAAAAAAACTTTTTTGTATTATTGTTTCTTTGACAAGGACAGCAAATACATTTGCACACATTAACTCTTAGATGTGTTGTTGTGTTTTGTTTTGTTTTCCTCACCTTTTTAGGAATAAATCAAACTAGCAATATTTTAAAAGAAACTATAAATAAATTACTGTAGGTCCGAAAAAGGGCCTCAGATGTTTGCATCAACGGCTGTTAAAACGTCATAAAAGATCATAGCTAGCATAAAGCTAATCAGGATGAAAATTACACACAACCAAATTAGTTTGTTAATACTTGAACTTAGTTGTAGGTTGTATAAAAACAGAAGAACCTTGAAGGAGAGTTGCAAATAAAAAAATAAAAAATGTTGCAAAGCTGAACATGATTACATAACTAAATATTATTGAAACAGATTTTTATTTACTTTGAAAAATAAAATTCTGCAGAGAGTGGTGGTGACGTACTTCCGTGTAAATTTATGCCACATAGATTGGTTCCGGGTCCTGCTTGCTCCTATTGTTTTTAACCACAACTGCAAGATCTGTGCCATGAACAAGACGCAAAAGTTAAAATATCTGTGAGCTACTGGTACAACGACTGAGTTTTGTGGTGTGCCGTTGTTTCCAGTAATTAGTCGGTACCATCCAGTGCTTAGTTTTTTCATTTTCCAGCTGATATCAAGGCGACAGCGGACTGTAGCCAAAACTTAGCCACTACAGCTAACACATGATTTGTAGCTGCCTGCTATTTCAAAGCTTTACGATATTGAAGATCCAGTGTCAGAAATGGGAAGACGGAGGTTAAAATGAAGCTGTACGAGCTTCGTTCACTGGAATAATGTGTTGGAGGAAAATAATGCCGGAGGAAATCCACTGCTACGGGAACAGGCTGAGGACAGAGGCAGCGATTCGGCACAAGGTCAGGCAATACGTGTGTTGATGCGTTTGTGTTATAAGAGTATGAAATTATTGTTAGGCCGCTGTTTAGCTTTTGTTTATATGACAGTTATATAAAATACATTTAACATGCAGTCGGAGGGTAATTTAAGAACAGCCGAAGGCAGCAACGCTTCAGCCTGAACATTATTCAGTTTTTCTGTTCCACCAACACCGAGCAACACGATCCAAACCACACAGGTAGTCGGTCAGATTAAGGTCCAAAACCTTCGCTTTACAGCCGTATTAGTGTCACCGATCCACATGAAAACCCACAGAACAGGTCAGCCGAAGGGCGTATTTCCCGAATCCCAAAAATATGACATCATACCTTTGCTGTTTGTTTCATCTCGTTAGAGTGAATTTTAGTTTTTAAATTGGAGCAGATCTATGGTGATCCAGATGCGAAAAAAAAGGTGAAAATCGAACTTTATTGAGTTTTTACAAATCAGAAAAAGGGTTCACAAATCCCAAATATGGTTATAAAGATTCTTCTTGAAAAGGAGAATAATCCAGTCCAGATTTGAAGTATCTAGGTGTCGTAGTTTTTAAACTAGAGTCGATTAAAGATGCGGAAGGTAGTGAAAAATTAGGAGTCTTGGCTGTTTAGTCTGTTCTTCTGTTACACAAACGTTATTTCTTCTGAGATTCTGCTTAGAAAATGAGGTTATGAAGTTACATCCTCCCACTGCTTTTTGTTTTTAAAATGGTAAATTTAGGTTTGCCTTGACTTTTATAAACTAATGCGTCTTATATGCATCATTTTTTGTATTACTGTTGGTAATGAGCAAACCCTGTGCTTTGTCTGCTAGTAGTTTAAATTAATTTCAGCTGCACACTTTCAAGAGTATTCAGATTTTAACATGCATTTTCTAAGTAGTATTTTAATTCACTCTTACTCAGTAACATCAGTGTTGCT